CAGTCTTTAGAACTTTTGGAATTGAAATATGCTTACAGAAACAGGGTAGGTAGACTGAGTATTCATTTTCATTAATTGTCCATATTCACGCACCTAGCACCTACCTCTAGACTAGGACACGGCAGCACTGTTGCTTGTTCAGATTTGGTCACCACCCAATTCTCTGCTACAAAAATCTCAATCTTCTTGATTTCTAAAAGCTTGCATGAGTTTTAATCTTTCTTTAACTACACTCATTGGAGTCCCTCCCTTTTTCTCCACGTTCCATCTGTGAGGCCTACAGGTGTTGTGGCTGGTAGCTTTTACAAATTCATTCTTCTTGCTGTAGCGTCTCTACCATACACATTAAGCTTTTTCCCCCACTGGTTGATAGTTGGGAAATTCCTAGTCTGAGGCTGTTGGGAACAGACTAGGACAGTATTCAGCCTGAACTGTTCCTAGAGTTGCTACCATGGCACTTGAGAAAGCCACAGAAGCAAGAAATCTCTTCAACCTTCCTTTGCTTACCTCCCCTGAAGCAGTCCATAAGACCCAATGAGCATCCCCTGAAGCAGGTCATATGGCTCTCATTCTAGAAAGCTCCCTGCCCCAGGCCTGGAAGAAGGGGCAGAGATGAAGGCACTGAGATGCCAAGAACTGTCAATCTCTCCACTTCTAGCTTATCACCATGAGGTCATACCTCTCTGTCTAGCCATCATACTTCTACATACCCCTGTAAAAATAATGTTTGGTTTTTGAGTTTCCATCTCTAGAAGGTCCCACATTATGCAAAAACTATGTAATTGGAGTGCCTTCCTCTGTCCTTCTGTCTTTCATTGTAGGGACCTCAATCAGTGCTTGTGTTCATGTGTGAATTTCGGTCATATGCTTTCCAGTTGGGTCACAGGTTAGTATTTTTCTTCTTACCTGGGGATCTGTTCATTTGATTTGAACTCTTTAAAATCTTTCCCCTGTTAGGGCTGAATGGGTAAAGGCCAGCAATTAGTCCATTTACCTAAGAAAGGACACAGTGGTTCAGCAGCAGAAATGAGAAACCGTTATACCCACAGTGTGGCAAAACAAGGTGAGTAGCAGGGCAGAGAAGAGGTTACTAAAATAGAGGTTTGTGAAGGGAGGGATGCCATTGATTCCCCTAAATGTTTTACCGAAAGATGTCGGAAGATAGATGGAGCTTCCAGTTATGCTTTCTTTCATGCTACTTCTTGGATACAGGCAAAAAACATTTCCCATCACACATCATGCATGCAGCTGAGAAACAGTCCATTTCTTTGAACTAGATAAAAGACATTTAGAAGCAATGAAGGGGATGTATCTCTTGTGTACCCTGCAGAACTGTCATAAAGGCCTTGTGCTGTAGTTTAATTGGCAGTATTTTTATTCTTCCATGGAAGTGGATAAACAATATGTACTTAAAAGCAATATTAGCTGAAAGCTGATGAAATATATTTAAAATTATATTAATGTCATAGCTTCTTAGCACAACCATTGAGCTCAGCAGTCTGCAAACAGTGTCTCCTTTAATTTAGTCTTCACTGCAGCCTCAGGTGGTGGGTATAATATTTTTGTCCATGGAGAATCAGACTCTTTATTTATGTGCATTGTTGTTTGACCTTGGGAGTTACAGACAGTTGTGAGCTGCCATGTGGGTGCTGGAAATTGAACCCTGGTCCTCTGGAAAAGCAGTCAGTGCTCTTAACCACTGAGCCATCTCTCCAGACACTTTAAATGAGGCAGATCAGAAGTAAGTGATGAAGCCAGGATTCAGAGTCAGGTATTTGTCACTTACAGAATACCAACTTCTCAAGACAAAGAAATCAATGATTTGGGACTGCTCTATTAGATGAGGAATTCAGTTGAGATGAAGAGGGGCAAGGAGATAGTTTTGGCATTGTCCTTCGACAGCAGTATTCTCCACTTCGGGGTGTGTGTGTGTGTGTGTGTGTGTGTGTGTCAGAGAAGAGGAGTGTGCAGGTATGTTGGTGTGGGTGTTCTTGCCTGTGCAAATGTGTGTGGAGGGCAGAGATTGATGTCTGGTGTCTTCCTCTATCACTCTCCACATGGAGCTCACTGTTTTGGTTGAGCTGGCTGGCCAGCAAGCCCCAGAATTCACCTGTGCCCCCTGCCCTCCAACACTGGAGTTAGAGATATGTGGTGCTGTGCCCAGTTGTCAGGTGGATTCTGGGACTCTGACCTCAGACACTCATGTGTGCAGCAAGCACTTTACCCACTGAGCCATCTTCTGGCTCAACTCAAGCTGTTCTAGTTATAAAAGCCACCTCCTGGGCCAACTCTCTGGTCATCTGTTGCCAGCATCATTATAAATATGGATAGTCTCCTTGTGAGCGCTCCTGCTTCTGCCATTATCTGGGTGATCTGTTATCGACACAATTAGAGCAAGGTTCAATACATAAGTTAGGACATGTTCCTGCTCTGCCCCAAACTCTCCAAGGCTTCCTGTCTCACTTGGACAGAAATCTAGAATCTAGGCGTCTGTAGATCCCATGACCTTAGGTCAATGTCTGGCTCCCTTTCTTATTACTACCTCCTCCCTTGGGCACAACATCGTCTTTCTCGTTTGCCCAACTTGGCTCTGTCTTAGTGTATGGCCCCTGACTATGGACTTGGAGACCAGGGTTTGAGTATAAATCACTTGTTTGGAAAGTGCCCTTAGGAAACCGAAGGGGAGCTGGGAAAGAGGGAAGCACTCCTCTAAAGGATTGTTATCAAACCAGCAACCACTAGAGGCAACTGATCAAATTTCTATGGCAAAATCAGATCCAGCACTAGCCATGTAAATCATGGGATAATGGTGTTATCTTGCCCAAATAACAGAGGCCTGGGGAACTTCTCCACCAACTGTTGCCTGCTCCTGGGCTGTGTCTGTTCTCATTCCTTTTAGTGGCTTTGTGTGGGAACAGAGCAGGCTCCAGTGCCCAGAAAGAGCCCTGAGGTAAGAAGGATATGAATGCCGGGATGTTGATATTGGGCTGAGATGAAAATAATAAAGTTTAATGCGTAGATGTGAACAGGACCTGGGAAATGTCCACTGCAGGCCATAAGCTGGCTTGGATAATCACTTGCTGTGCCTTCTCACAATAATTCTCCAGAGCTCCTAACATAGGCACTTGTCTCCTGTGAGTTGTCTTTCTTCCTCCATTAAATAAGAGCTCCACAAAGTGGGTGCACTTTGGCCTGCTAGGTTTGCTGCCTTAATCCCAGGAATGGAGTCTGGTAGATTGCAAGAGTGAAATAAAAATTGAATGAATGAATCAGTAAATGAAAGATGATCTTTTCAACTATTTTGTTCCTATGTTTGCCATCTGAGTTTAATCCTTAGGAATGAAGACTAACCTATAGGCGCCTTTATGGCTGATGTTCCTGTTGTTTTATATTAGCTCTTGATTGTGAATGGCTTTGAACATACCCGCCCCCCAATCACACTGAATATCTTTGTTGTGTACATATTCATGTATGTGCAGGTACACATGCAGGTTTGCACACATGTACCTGTGTGCACATGTGCATGGCACTTCAAGGACAATCTTGGTTGTTCTTCACACACCATTAGCCCTTTTTCCTTTTTTGAGACAGGGCCCAGAGTTCACAAGCAGGCTAGCCTGGCTGGCCAGTGAGTCCCAGGACTCTGGGTCTCTCTGTTGGCATTATTAGAACATGCCATCACACCTGCCTTTTTTTCTCCACAGGAGTTTTGGGACTTGAACTCGAGAACCCACGCTTTTTTGCAGTAAGGATGTTTTGCAGCGGTTTCTCCAGCCCAATAGTGAAAATCTTATTGTATGTCAGTCCCTGTTCAAAGTGTAAGGAATGCTGTGGTACATCAACAAGGAGTGACTTTGGCAGGAAGCAACAGAAACACCAAAGGAAATGGCCTTACCCAAGTGAGGGTTTTAATTTTCTTGTGTAATTAGAAGTCTAGACACAAGCAGTCCTTATTCTTTTCGTCACTCTGAGGGGCCATCAGGGACTATGTCTGCTTCTCTTTCTTGTAGTCCCAAGTTTGTTCCCCCAGCATCAGCAGCTTCTGTATTCGAAGCAAGAAAGAGAAATGGCAAAGGGAAATTTTATGTTCCAGCGAATGCTCCCCCTTGGCATGCTTTCCTGGAAACCTTCCCCCATAGATTCTTACCCACTTAGTATCTTCTCCTGTCAACAAGAGAGCTAAGAAAGATGCTTTTAATTTCTAGTTTTTTTCTGTTTGGTGGACTCTTTGTTTGCACACACAAATCTGAGGGAAAAGATACAGTTAAATTGGGAGCCACCCACACTAGCAGGAACCGAGTAGGAAGCATGGCCTACCTGGGCTGTCACCATAGTGCAGAAAAACAGACTGTAAGGCCGTGAGCATCCCCTTCTGCTTGCCAGCTGCTCCCAACAGTCCTGAGTGCTGTGCAGTGGTCAGGGAGGGGAGGAGCCAAAAGGTGACTCAGATTCTGCCATTTACCTGGAGTTAGGGAAGAGCTGAGCTTGGAGCTGGCTTCCGGTGGCAAGAGAGAGGCAACCTCACCTTGACTGACCCACTGTTGCTTATACTCTAGGAAGAGAAAGTGGTAGAACCACGCCCACCTAGCTCTGTAAAAGAGAAGATAGCAAACGTGCTCTGTGAGCCCCCTTCTGCTCCCCACCCCCAGTCCCCCACCCCTGCTGGTGCCTTTTTCTTCTCTCCTTCACACAAAGCAGAAGTTTAAGTATTTCCTTGATAGGAAATGACCATGGGAGGTAAATATGCTAATAAGCTTTTGTTAGTTATTTTCATTTGAATTGCGCGCGCGTGTGTGTGTGTGTGTGTGTGTGTGTGTGTGTGTGTGTTCCTCTTGACAAAGTGTGGCACTCAGGTCTCACACAAACTTTTGTATACAAGCAAAACAAAACAAAAGAAAAAAATAATCATACTTTCCTTTGCTCCCCTGTCAGGACAAGGTGGGTGAAAGCGTTCTTTTCTTTTCTTTTTCTTTTTTCCGGCGGACATCTTTATTAATAATAGACCATCAACTTCTCCAAACCTCCAGCTGGAATTTCATCTTATTTCCATGCTGAGTCATGAACAGTGACAAAGCCAACCAGAGGCTACTCGAAGAGGACTAAGCTTCCATAGCTCACTTTCTTCTACAGGCAGAATAGAAATAGATGCACTCTAGAATGCACAATGGCTTTAGTCACTATGGAATTTAAATGGGATCTTGAAGAATGTAGACAAATCCCGATGAAGGAAGGACGAGCTGAGATGCTGTGCAACTGTTTAAGGGTTTCTGGTGCTGCATCTCGGTCACTAGCTGAATCTTGCACTAACACCAAATGGAGATGCGGAAAACACACTAAGTTGACTTAGGGGTTGTGCACAGGAACCAAAAGGCAGGAAAATACTAAACATTGCTGAGAGCATCCACCCCAGGAAGGACTTTACCTTCCAGGAGCTCTAGACTGGCACCACCCCCAGTGCTCACATGGCTGACTTTATCCTCTGTATTCCATTTGGCACAGCAAGTGGCAGTGTCTCCACCGCCTATGATAGTGATGCAACCCCTAGAAGTGGCTTTTACCACCTCATCCATGAGGGACTTGGTTCCCCTGGCAAAAGCTTCCCATTCAAAGACCCCAACAGGTCCATTCCAAACAATCTGCTTGGCTCGAGCCACAGCCTCAGCATATTTCTTGCTGCTCTCAGGACCACAGTCCAGGCCCATCCAGCCAGCAGGTATACCAGAGGCCACAGTAGCTTGGCCAGTCTTGGCATTCTCATCAAATTTGTCAGCAGTGACAAAGTCAACGGGCAAGGTAATCTTCACACCATTTTTCTCAGCTTTAGCCATGAGATCTTTGACAATCTTGGCTCCTTCTTCATCATACAGAGAAGTTCCGATCTCCATGTTGTTGAGCACCTTAAGGAAGGTAAAAGCCATTCCACCACCAATGATCATCTCATTGACTTTGTCCAGCATATTATTGATCAGCTGGATCTTGTCTGCAACTTTAGCTCCTCCCAATATTGCCAGGAAGGGTCGTTCAGGACTCTCCAAAGCTTTGGCAAAGTAGTTCAGCTCCTTCTTTTCAACCCCCAGGGAAATAAGCAGCTGCAGACATTGAAGTTTTTCTGTATCACATGTATTTATTCACATATATATTTATGCGGGTTGTACAGGCTAAAGGAGTGTTTTCAGGAGGGAGCCTGTTCTCTCCTGCCAGCATGTTGGTCCAAATCAAGGTGCCAAGCTTGGCAGAGAACTTCGTTACCCACTGAACCGTTTCTGCAACCCGGATGTGGACAATCTGTAATAGAACAGTTTGAGGGAAATTCTGTTAATGAGTAGGCAAACCTGGTGACTGAGGAGCTTATAAAAGGAAGTACTAGCTGTTAACTCAGTTCTGTGTCTTCCAGAGCCTGTCCATGGCAATGCAGAGCTGGGGGTTCATACATGGCCTCAGAAACACTTTTGCAGGCTGCTTCTTTTTTTTAATATTTATTTATTTATTTATTTATTTATTTATTTATTATGTATACAATATTCTGTCTGTGTGTATGCCTGCAGGCCAGAAGAGGGCACCAGATATCATTACAGATGGTTGTGAGCCACCATGTGGTTGCTGGGAACTGAATTCAGGACCTTTGGAAGAGCAGGCAGTGCTCTTAACCTCTGAGCCATCTCTCCAGCCCTGCAGGCTGCTTCTTATTTCAGAAGTCTGGCTCATACCTAAACTGCCCTTCCCCTGTAATCAGATTGATGACTATCTTAGTTATCATCATAGAAACTTCATCCAGTAAATGATGGAAGCAGCTGCAGAGATCCACAGCTAAGCCCTGGTCCCAACTCCAGGAGTCCAGACATAGAGAGGGAGGAGTGATACTATGAGCAAAGAGGCCAAGACCATGATGACGGCTGACCCCAACTGACAGCTGGGAAACCAACACAAGACCAAACTAGGCCCTCTGAATGTGGGTGACAGTTGTGTGGCATGGGAAGTTTGTGGGGTCACTGGCAGTGGAACCAGTATTTATCTCTAGTGCATGAACTGGTTCTTTGGAGCCCATTCCTTTGGAGGAATTCCTTTCTCAGCCTAGATACAGCGGCGAGGGCCTTGGACCTGCCTCAAGTGATGTGCCTTACTTGACTGACTCCCCACAGCAGGCTTCACCCTCTCTGGGGAGTGGATGAGGCATGAGGAGAAGGTGGGAGGAGTAGGAGGACGGGAGGGAGAGGGGATTGGGATTGGTATATAAAATAAGATTGTTTAAAAAACAAGTCACTGTCATGGAAGAATATGGCAGGATTTGGTTTTGGTTCTACAATGCCAAAGCCTGACTGGCATCCTTACTCTAGACAAGAACTCTACAACTGAGCTCTGATGCCCCCACTGATAGCCCTGTGTGTGTGATCATAATAGGCATTTTAAGGTGGTTGGACTTGTTTCTCCTTGAGCCTCAGCTGATGTGAGTTTTCTTTTTACTGGCCATCATTTTCTAGTGGTGCCTTATGCTGTGGTCTGTTGTTTTTCACACAAATTGAGAACTCTGGTGGCCGCTAACAACACCCTAGCTCAATGAGAATCAGCAAGTGCATTTAAGTTCACTTGTAAGAGAGTCAACGGGGAGTGTAAAAGTGTCAGTAAATGCCATGGTTGTGACGTTGCCCCATGTCTCGGTGGCTACTGATTTTTCATTGTTTTGCAGAATAAATGCTTCCCATCTTCGTTCATTTTTAGGTTGGGGTAGGGTCACTCTGTGTTTGCCCTTTGAGTGGAAACTAAGTGCCCTTTCAGCCCAGATGTCACCAGGATCCTAAGAAGACTCAGTGCTTCTCAAAGCTGCTGCGTACTGTGAGAGGGTATTCTCTTCTCTCTAGCCATCTCTGTTCTTTATTTGCATGTTTCAGATTGCATCCTCTGCCGCCATTCTTTCCCTCCATCCTCTCCTATTGTCCTCTTTTCCTTCCATCTTACTTTTTGTGGTGCTGGCAGTGAAACTCAGGCCCCACACATGGGACGCAAATGCTACGGGAGAGTTATCAGTATTCTGTCAATCATATTTTAAATAAATGCTGATTGGCCAGGCAGGAAGTATAGCTGGGTCAACCAGACAGGAAGTAGAGGCAGGGCAATGAGAACAGTAGTATTCTGAGAAGCAGGAAGCTCCCTCCACACTCCTGCACAGACCACCGAAGAGGCAGGATGTAATCTGCCCGGCTGTGAAATGTATGGAGCCATGTGGCTAACATAGATAAGAATATTGGGTTAATATAAGCTACAAGAGCAAATAAGAAGACTGAGCTAATGGGCCAATCAGTTTTATAACTTATGGAGATCTCTGTGTGATTTTCTTTGGGGCTTGCCAGCTGTGGGGAACAGGGCAGGGCAGATACCCCCAACAAGCAGGTCCTTTATGTTACAGGCAAATACTCTACCACTAAGCTGGACTCCTTGTCCAAAGTTTCTCTTCTGAGTTGTAAGATCTGTAATACAGCCAGGTACTGTATGCTCCCATGTGGTCCCAGCTACCTGGGAAGCTGAGCCAAGAGGATGCTGGAGTGAGTACCACCTTGGAAACCGCACGAATCTATCATGAAAGGGGAGAGGAGAGAAGGAAGGAGGAAGAGGTGTGGGGGATTCTGTTTAATAATGAGTTCGGACATGATGTTAAGGACATCATCTTCCCACTTTCTCTACATGGAGAAGCCCTCCATCTTTGCTCATGTACTCATAAAGCTTTATACTTCATTTTTCTTCTTGCTCAGAATCCATCCTGCCCTTGCACAGACTTGGCAAGTATTCTACATCTGAACCATGTCCCAGACTGTTTTCTTATGTGTGAGAGAGTCTGTCTCCCGAGTGGCTGGGATTATAGGCATGTGCTACTACTCCACACAGCTAAAAAACCAAAGCAAACCAAAAACTGTGTTCTTGATTCCTGAATTCCATGACACCAACACCCTAATTCTACTTATAGAATAAGCATAAAAACTGAAAGCTATTGAGAACCAAGATTTGTTCTTAAATGTTACTCGGATGATTTAAACATTGTATTACGTTAACACGAAGAAATTATTTATAACGATTTATAACCCAATCCTTAAAATAACAAGAAGAGATAGTGATATTATTCTGAGTGAGAGGGAAGCAATAACATGTAGTTTTGGACGAATATGCTTTTTTGAAATGAGTTAGGAAATCTGAAATATGAGGCTGGAGTGTGGCCGTAGAGTGGCCAAGCCGGAGAGTGTTAGCCAGCATGCATAGCAGCGGGCCCAATCCCCAGCATAGCCCCAAACCCAAACTAAACAAACACCCCCAGAAGACACCGTCTCTGAATATCAAGTCCTGAATAGAAAGGATGTAACTCTTTTCTTTCTTATTTTGTATTTTTCTGCTAAGTTTAGATGATCTTCATAGCGACCGGATGCGTCAGATTCTGCAGGAAGAAAGGCTGGCTCTGTAGTCAGCGGCAGAGCACCTGCCTGTCACGTGCAAGGCTTACAGGTCCATCCTGAGTCTGTCTCTCTCCTGTCTCTGTCTCTTTCTCTCTCTCAGCCCAAGACAAAAGTAACAGCGAGTATAACATAGGAGCTGAAGAACTGACCGTTCGCTTAATGTGTAAACAGAATCGGAGTGGCTGCAATTTCCTACACAAGTCTGGGAGGAGAGATGCATGGGTCTTCCAAAGCTCAGCATTTTTCTACTAACTATTTAGAGGGCTTTATGAATACTATACTGTTTAAAATAAATATAAAGATGAAGGGTTGAAATGGCAGTCAGACTCACAATGAAAAGATGCTAGATAGCCAGACATGGCGGCTCATTCTTATAAGCCCAGCACTCGGGAGGCAAAGGCAGGAGGGTCACCGGTTCTAGGCCATGCTGAGCTAAAGAGGGAGATCTTCTCTCAAAGAGAAATTTGAAAAGGACTGAGGTTGTCGTTTAGCGAGCAGCACTTGTCTAGCCCAGGCTCGGCATTGTGAGGTACTGGGTTCCATCTCCAGTGTTGAAATAGAAGCGGCGGGGCTGCATCCCCAACACCCCGGCCGCTTGCTAGCTCATGCCCGAAATAACAACACACAAACTGTATTCATTTAAGAACTGCTTGGCCCATGAACTCTAGCCCTTACAGGCTAATTCTCGCACCTGGAATAGCCCATTTCTAATAATAAGTGTAAGCACCCCAAGGTGCGCTTACCGGGAAGATTCTAACCTCTGTCCATCCTGGGTTTGAGCTTCATGAGTCTGCCTCAGAGCGCATAGCTATCGTGTCTATCCGGCAGAGCTGAGCATGGCGTCTCTGCTCCAGAGAGCAGAGCAGAGTCTGACCTCACTTCCTCTTCCACCCAGCATCCTATTCTGTTTATTCCACCCACCTATGTTCTAAGCTATGAGGCCAAGCAGTTGGTTTATTATAATTAACCAATTACCTTCCTCCATCACTCCAGTACAAACACACAAAAAGACAGGGAAAGAACAAAGTCATAGGAGAACATGTACAGATGGCCTCGAGGGAGAGCTGTGCTCCTCAGCCATCCACATGAGGGGCTGCTAGAGCCTGGCTACTCTTGTTCTGTAAGGTGAGCGTGAGAAGCACACACTGTGTACAGATGATGAGGAACTGTGAAAAACCCGGCATGCCACAGGAACTCAATTAGAATGATTGTGTTGGGTTCCCCCCTTATTTTTATTTTATTTTCTGATTTATTTCATATTTATTTATTTTTTATGTGTATGAGCATTTAGCCTGAATGTATTTCTGCACCATGTGTATATTTAGTGCTTGTGGAGACTAAAAGAGGGTGTCAGATCTCTAAGAACTAGAGGTACACAGGGGTTGTGAACCACCATGTAGGTAGTGGCAAATAAAGCCGCGTCTTCTGGAAGAACAGCCAGTGGTTGTCATCTCTCCAGCTTTTCCTTTCTGTTTTTGAAGATAGGATCTCACTCTATAGTCTGTGATGGCCCCACTCTTGCCATCCTCTTGCCTCAGATTCTCAAGTCCTGGGAGTACAGACGTGAGACACTGTGGCTACAGATTTTGGATTGCGATGTGTGCACGCTTGCCACCCACTGTTGGAAAGGAAGAAGAGCCCGAACATTACAAACTGCCGTTTTCTGTGAGATGTAGCTTTTCCTCTTGAACGTCCATTTCTGTGGGCTTCCTTCCAGTTAGACTGCCTAACGGGGTGACTGGCTTGTCCGGTCGCTTTATCTCTTGCCATTTAAACACACATCCTGTTGAGATAACCCCCGAGACTGTACTACACAGCCAGGAAAACTGTAACTGTCCGTATTTTGTC